GAAGGCCACAGCCAGGCAGGGCTGCAGCCTCTCAGGCCGGACCAGAGCTCGCGCATACTGCGGGCTGATATTTTATTATTATTTTTATTATTATTTTGAGACAGAGTTTCCCTGTAGCTTTGGAGCCTGTCCTGGCACTCACTCTGGAGACCAGGCTGGTCTCAAATTCACAGAGATCCGCCTGCCTCTGCCTCCCGAGTGCTGGGATTAAAGGCTTGCGCCACCAACGCCCAGTTGGGGCTGTTATGTTAGAGCAGTGACCCTTTGCTGATGCTGTGACCCTTTAATACAGTTCCTCATGTTGTATTGGCTCCTAATCATAAAGTTATTTTGACTTTATGCGACTATTTTGACTAGTTATTTTGACTAGTTGCGACTTCATAACTGCAATGCTGCTACTGTTATGAACTGTAATGTAAATATCTGATCTGCTGCCTCTGTGAAAGGCTCGTTTGGCTCCCAGGCTGAGACCCGCTGCTTTAGAGGCTGTGGCAGGTGGGGGAGCCACAGGGGAGAGGCAAGACATTCTTTGCTAAGCAGTCTGGCCCATGGGTTGTGACTTGGGAAGGTGAAGGAGCTCCGCGCAAAGCGCCATGGGGTTGTTGTTAAATAACAGAAAGACAGGTAGAAGTGGTTAAAGTTAGTTCCTGGGTTCGAATTTTGTCTTCCCGCTTGAGGGCTGGGTGCATTCATACTGATCTTAGTTTTCCCATCTGGAAAACGGGTGTGATAATTACACAGGATTCTTTTGGAGACCAAAGAAAATGATACTAAAAGAAAGAGTCCAGAACAACAGCTGGAACCAATGTAAAGGGTATGTTTGATTCGTGTTATTGTGACATTGTGGCTGCTCTTTGTACGCACGCAGGGCACCCACCCACCACTAAGAGCTGGGTAGATTATCTCGCAAGTCCAAACTGGATATTATTATTATTGTTATTATTATTATTATTCCCAATTTATAACAGGGGTGTGTATTGAGGCTCAGTGGATGAAGCAATTTGTTCAAGTTCCAGCTGAGAAAACAGCCGGGCTAAAAACATAAGGATTTGATTCTAGAAGGAGCCCGCTGCCAGGGTTATCTCAGGACTGAGGGTATATCGCCCCCTGGTGTTTGCATGTCCGAAGTGCTTTTCAATGGAGGCAGGAGAGAAAGGGGTGGGTGGTTGCAGGGAGGGTCCAGACAGACAGACAGACAAATCAGGGCCGAGATAACTGCTCTGGCTATGCCACACACCCACCTGGGGCAAAGTGTATCCGCGGAAGCAAGTGGTCCTCGTGACGGTGTGGGGCATTCCCATGGGCACCAGTGCCAGGAGCCGCTGTGCCTCGTGTAAAACTGCATCCGTGTAAGGGAGGCGAGCACGATCGCTCAGACTCGGAGCCCTGCCGGGACCCAGCTCCTGGATCAACTCCTCCCGAACACGCTCTGCATGCAAGAGGAGGGTTGCAGGTCAAGGGTGGGATGGACCCTGTGGTCCTTGTCCTAGGAGCCTCATCCCGTGCAGCAGTGGTTTGGGGGTGAGGCTGGCAGCAGGCAGGCGAGGAGCAGCTAGGCCTGGGGTCTCGTTCATCCTATTTGCGGGGTATGTATCAATTTTATCTTAACTCAGGTAACAAAAAATGATGGTCACCGTTTTGGTTTTTTGAGACAGGGTCTCCCTATGTTGCCCGGGCTGTCCTGGAACTCACTCTGTACACCAGGCTGACCTCAAACTCACAGAGATCC